CCCCTCTCTCTATCTATATATTATCTATCTATCGCTCTCTCTATCTCTCGTTCTCTCGTTCTCTCTCGCTCTCGTTCTATCCTCACTATTCTCACTCCTTCTTTTTACAGCTTTACTATCAGTATAATTCTATAGTAGCTCACATAAACAAAAAACATACACACCTGACACATCGACCACAAACACACTTAACACACACACACACACACACACACACACACACACACACACACACACACACACACACACACCTGATGCACATACACACCTGTTTAGAAAGTTGCTCCTCACACAGCTTGTATAGTGTGTAGAACTTCTGTGCCAAAATTATGTTCTCGATAAACCCACAGGAGGCCAATTTTACTCGCATTATGATCTGTTAGAAAAAAAACGCCGAACAAACATTTTGTAAAAGCATTGCTCAGTTTCTACACTGTCTCATACCTAATGAAAAGTGAGAAGCAATTAGCGTTATCGTTATTCTTCTTCTTCTATGGCTGTGCAATCAGATACGTGACGACCTCTTTGGGTTTGGTCCATAGTTCATCTAGTCCAGGCCGAATACTGTATTGCAGTAGCGGCTCGCGTATCAGGTCTGCGTGCCGGAACTCGAATAGTGCGTGTTGCAAGTCATTAGGACTTAGGACTGACACCACAGCTCGGGAACATGTCTGATGCAGGGCTTTCCCTAAGGAGATATGACTTAAGCATACGACTCTTTGCGTTGCACCGTGATTTCGACAATGTGTGTTTTCGTTTGCCTGTCCAACGCTGAAGTTTTCCAGGTATTAGAAGTTTCTCTCACCTTCAATCTCTGTACCTGCATATTATACCTGTATTTTTCTCTACGCCACAGAATACACGACAGTCAAGAAAAATGTGGTACCCGAGACTGACTGCACCAGAGAGCCGAGTCTTGGAACAAATAAATTCTACTCTTCCCAATTTCCCAGGAACGTTTTGTTTTACAAACTTGGTAGGCCCATGACCACCGACTTACGTTAATCTGTCCTCAAGCTGGGGGTTTTTTCGATTCGCTTTATAAAAATATTTTACACAATGAGATATATATGGCAGGGAAGAAATGGACACTTGGAGTTAAAGTTGTTCTGGTTCTTAATCAACAATAGGCATATCTGGCAGGATTGTTGGGAGGGAAGGAGAGGGGAGGAGGGGGGAGATGGGAAAAATCTTCGACTTATTGTGAACCTATCGCAGTTCTTGTGTTATTAAATCTTTTTCTTACACTAGTAAACTAGGTTCATTATTTTTTGTAATTTCCTTTCCGCGAGCAGACTACAAGAGTCAGCTTTTTCTAGCAGTTAACAAGATTCAGTTATGACATAGTTGTCAACTACAATTAACTTTTTCGAAGATAGCAAATCATTGTCGGGTGAAAAGAGGTTGTTTTGGACTGTGTCTTTATACTATGGAAAAAACAAAATAGCTGAAGAAGTAAGTGGTTGTTTATACAAGTCATTGTCTTGGACAGGTGACCGTTTGAGCAGGCACGACTAGCGACTGTATATAGTGTTTACATCTACCTGTCTGTCTGGCACCATCATGGACACGGTACGGAACTGTACTTTCAGGTTCTCAGGCAGCTCCTGTCTGCCCGCATAGCCCGGGTTCTGAGGAAGGAAAAAAAAAGGGGGGGGGGTGTAAAACGTTTGTTTAAGGTCTTAAACAAACTCATTGTTCAAACTCTTTCTAGCTATGGACAGTTTGATAAATACTCTGAGTTGTACATTGCTGTATATTGTTTGCTTACCCTTCCGACATAATTTAAATCTTTTAGGAGACAGGCTACTTCGATCGTACTCATTAGAACTGGGTGGGATACAAAATCCAAGAGGAAAGACTAAGACACTCGATATATTAGGCTTTCCAACGTGGAAATCGAACTCATGTCTTTTGCATGCAACATCAAAGAGCCTGACCAGTACACCACAGATACCGTTAGACTCTGAGATCGTTCAAGCGCCTAGTTCAGGATTTATTTTTGTAAGAGTTCTACGGCACTTGCAACACAATAAGGTCATATAAGTGCCGAAGATTAGAGGAGTTACAAGAGAGTAATAAACACAAAAAGAAGGAGGAGAGATAGGACAATAGATATTTGATAGGAAAGAAGGAGCAAACCACACCAGAGCACCCGCCAGCCACCCACGTAGTTCAGGATTTAGGAAGGTGTTGTTATGAGGGTAGGAGTAACCCCTTAGTGGATTAAGGCTTTTGTTTGGGAGGTGGCAGGTTTGTTTGTTTGTTTGTTTTTTGTTGTTGTTTTTTTTGTTTGATTGGGGGGTTGGGGGTGTCAAAAAGGAAACTGTGGAATGTTGTGTTGTTTTATTGCTGTTTGATTGAGTTTTGCATAGTCATGTATGTGTCTTTGGTGGCCATATGTTGAGTGACTAGAGTTTGTTCACACATGAAATCACAGAGATGACACAGGCTGTTAACCCTACCTCTTACCCTTGTCTAACCGTCTACATAACTACATGGAACATCTTTGTACTACTAGTCTAACTACATAACCCTATCTCTGACCTGTGTCTCTCTACATAACTACATGGACATTCCTCTAACCGCTAGGCCCATTCCATAACTCTTTCAAAATAACAACAGGCGTCGCGTCTGACCATGTAGCATGTGATTCATTACAGGTATTCAATTACTAATACCCAAACAACACAGTTCGATAATTCAGACGGTGGTTGTTTCAACCATGCCTGTAAGGGCCAACCCGTGCTCTGCAAGTGCTACAACATCCCAACAGATAGAAGGAGATACTAAATAGAAAGCTTGACCCCCCCCCCTCCTCCCTGCCCCATACGGGAATCGAACTCACGTATTCTGCTTGCTACGACAACTTGCGTAACCATTGTACCATAATAGTAATGGTAATAACTCGTCCGCCAATTTCTGACGAAGACCAATACATCCGCAGAGAAGAATATTTCTCCAGCGAAAGATAAGAATTTGAAGAATTCAAACTCCCACAAACCCACTGAACATATCCTACGTCACTCACCATGGTGAGGAAGATGCCAAACTCTGGGTTGAGGCTGACGTTGTCTCCGTCTGTGAAGATGAATTCCCTCTTCTTGTCTTTTTTGGCCGACAGCACAATGTAGATCTGCTGGGCCGCCACCGACAGCACGGGGAGCTCGATGCGGTTAAACTCGTCGAAACATCCCCACGAGCCCGACTGGGCCAAGCCTGGTGCAGGCAAACATTCTTTGATATGTGAGGGGGGATGAAGGGCCAATACTATTCCCATTAGCGATGTTATGCCATCACTATTCTTTGCCTACTATAGTTATTTACTCCATGACAAAAAATATGGGGATTTCTCAGAATTCACAGTTTGGGAGTAAATAATAATTTATAATTTAACGTTATTTAGGATAAGTCAGGCACACATTGCAATGACGCCAATACAAATGTGTATGCAAGTCGTGTTTGACCCAATGGAAATGGAATTCAAGAAGAAGGAAAAAAATCAGGTTTTAGACAACTAAGATCGTGGTTCTTCCAAAGGGAAAAATATTAAATATCGGAGAGCTCCAATTTTATCATGGTACTTGGAAGACCTTGTACGATAACTTGCTATTATCCCCTCACCTTTGTAAATACGGCCAAGCCCCCTGAAGTCCATCTGGTCGGAGCAGTTGAAGACGACCACGTACTTGCCCAGGCATCGGCCCATGTCTTTGGTGGTCTCGGTCTTCCCCGTACCGGCTGGGCCTGCCGGCGCGCCGCCCATGGACATCCAAAGGGCTTGGGCCAGCGTGATGTAGCATCTGAGGGGAGAAGGGTTTTTATTTTTTGTAAGTGTTTCACGGCTCTCATAACTGCATAAGGTCTTATGAGCTTGCAGGACGCATTAAGCATTTCAGTTTGGTAAAAAAAAAAAAAAATTCATTTTGCCCAGGTGTCGGCCGAAGCCTACTCTTATCGGTTTTCGGAACACCAAAGGATCTTTAACGTGCGCAACTTGCACGTGAGATTTCAGATATTTTTTCACCCTTATTCGAGAAGGCAAGGTGTTAGAGCTTACTTACCGTAAGATCAAGGGTGTGGCTGAAAATTTCCAGGTGTTTGGGATAACGTGATATAGCAATTGAGTTGTTGTTTAGCTTCAGTAAGCGTTTTACAACACTTGCAATTAAAATAGGTCGAAAAGAGTCAAAGATTAAAGGAGTTACTGAAGAGTAACATACAAAGAAAAGAAAGAGTGGAGATAAGGAAGATAGATGCTTGATAGCCCACACCAGAGCATATTCTATATTCTTTCCTGGGAAGACAGATGAGAGAACAGGGTGGGGAACGGTTTTGATTTTTTGTTGTTTTTGTTTTTTTGGGGGGTGCAAGTATTTGGACTAATTTTATGTAGCACCTCTGAGGGAGATGGGAAAGGAGTACATATTACGTATGTAATTAGTGGTAGGAAGAGATACACGCTCAGAGATACGTACACATAAATACAGTCACACACACCTTCTCTCATACACAGATACAAAACATGCACACACACACACACACACACACACACACACACAAAC